AGGAAGATAACAGCTTTATTTTATTCCTCTATCGTTGCTTGTTCATCCGCGAGAACGGAAGGATAATACACCACTTCTTTGCTGCTGCTGCTTGTTTCCCTCCATCTTTGACTTTTGACGAAAACGGGCGGCATGCCAAACTCTTCCTCCTCTTTGAAGACTTCAAACTTTCCTAGTCTCAAATAATACAGCACGGTCGTCGGATATGGATGCAGAAACTTCATAGAGAGCCTTTGAGCCTCTGTAATCTGTTTCAAAGTGTAGCTTTAGAACCACTTCTGCTACATTCTTGGACCTAGGGACGTTTCTCTTTTCCCAAATTCTCGGCTTTCTTGCCTTCGGATGTCTTCCACATTTTCTGAAGGCTTTGGATTATTCTCGCCACTGTTAGTGGGATGAGGATGGCTCATGGCGATTGGTGTTGCATTTTTTCTTTCACTTCTTCACACTGACCATTGCTGCCATCTTCTCATACGAGCCTTTGTCGAATTTGTTGATGGTCTGGACCCACGTGCCTAACTACATCACTCACCGTCCTCGGAGTGCGGATGGCACTGCCCTTGGGCTTCTTCTGAAGGACTGCCGGAAACAACGATTGAAGAGTGGTAGTGTTGCGGTTTGCTTGATTGCTTGGTTCACCGTCCTCAGGGCCCTTGGGCTTCTTCCGAAGGACCGCTGAAGACAACGGTTGAAGAGCGATGGTGTTGCAGTTTGGTCGTTGCATCAACACCTGCTGCCATCGGTTGAGCAGAGAAGAGAAATTTCCCAAGTTTTCTTCGTAGGTCTCGGTGAATAACCAGAGAGGGAGAGAAAGGATCTGGGGTTGCTTATTTAGAGTCTCTACCTTCATTTTTTTGCTCTGGGGAATGAGACAGTTTGAAGAAGCAAAGTGCTTCTTTTCTTCCTACAAAGCAGAGAAGAGAACCAACCCAGAAAAAAATTAAAAAGAAAGAAACGGCTTTTCCTTCAAATGTCGTGTAGTTTCTCTTGCTCTTTGTTCTTGCTTGTAGCTCTTAATTTCTTCTTCTTCTTTCTTTTCCTTTGTTGTGCCTTTGCTCTCTTGCTTTGCCTCTCTGTTGTCTTCTCTGTGCTTTTCAATTTCTGCAGTGTCTCCTCTTTTTTTTTTTTGTCCCGTTTTTTGCTGTGGTTGATGCCTATTTATAGGCATCTTAGGAGGTTTCCAGAGTTCTTACGTGGGGGAGGATAGAGGCCTTTCTTTTCACCACTTTCTCTTAAACTGACTCCACTTTTCTTTTTGTTGCAGAAAATGGGGGAGTCGCTGATTTTGTATGTTTCTTCTCTCTTTTGTAGGGAAATGCATTTTATTTTATTTTATTTATGGATGTATGTAAAGCCCATCCTCATTTTTGTTGGGCTGGATTACATCTTGTTTTGCCTTGTAGTTTGACCCAATTTGTATGGACCTTATTTTTTTATACGTCATGTATTTTTATTGTTCAACAGTAAATATCATACTTTTAGGGATTACATGGTTTAACAAAATGATTTTCACCTAGATTAATGAATCACTCATGTTTATATTTAATCCAAATGTCATGGATAAATTGCATATAGTGGTATGCGTTTTAGCTTGAATGTCACAAGTAAAACATACACAAGGAAAACCCAACCTTCAAAGCATGTGTGTTTTCGATTACTTAAGCAATTGGAAGAGCTACATAGGAGTGTTGTTGGTAAAGGTTGAACTCTAGCGCCTTGTCAGTCTAATTTTCTTCAATTATTTGTATTATCTTGAATTTCTATATTTACTTGTTTTGTTTAGTTTGATCACTATTCCTATAAGCCAATTCCCATTTTAGATATTTGTTTAAGTCACATACAATAGTATTTAGTTTCGTCGAATTAATGTAGTTCTTAGAGTTAACTAAGTTAAATAAATAAATAAATAACTCGTAAATTGTTTATATAAGCCCCTGAGGAGATCCACCTTGCTTGAGCCATTCTATACTACAAACACTTGTTCTCTTGCAAGAATTTTCTATGGTATAACCCTGATTTTACAAGTGGTAAAATCGCTATCAAGAAAACTAACGAAATGTACCCCTTGTACATCTCTCCCTTTGTGGAAATATAATTTCTTGATAGACCAAAAGTCCTTAGATTTCAATGAATGAGATGTCCTTAGAAAGCTTGAAACGTCTGCTTTCTTCATTCTTAAATTGGGAACAATTGGCTGGGAATTTTTTAGGTAAAAACTTGATATGATCATCTTCAATCTCTATACTTTTCCACCAAACTCGATCCTGCTGATCCTAGAAACACAAAAAATGGCAAAATCATCACACAAACTTAAAACTTCCAACTAAACTAGACAAGAAAAGAAATATAAAAGGGGGAAATCTATGGTATAAATATTGGTTCATCAAAATACCCCCAAACTTACATTTTTGCTAGTCCTCTAGCAAAACAAAACTACTCAACTAAGACTTGACTCAACAACTTAGTAGCGAACTTCTCAATTTTGATCTTAGAGATAAGTGCCAACCATGAAACAAACAACCAAGAACTAAGCAACAAGAGCTCAAAACATCATCCAATAGTTAACCAAATTTCCTTCAAACAAAACCTTGAAATGTCATTTGTGAGCTAGTCATGTCAATGCAATTCCAAGCTCCCTTAAATCATCATATGCAAACATGTGAGTTTCTCACAAGACATACGCTCATTCACTCATATGTTTTGGTTAATGTGTTTCATTCAAGTGATCTCATTGTACATGCCGCCATATGCTTTCTTGTCCATCTAGCTCGCTATCAATATTTAGGTAATGACTTGGATCAATAGGATTTTATTACGGTTGTAATGGGGTTAAAGGTGATAGGCTAATGAAAGAAAGAATATGGAAACCAAAAATTTTGAGAAACTATACTTTTGTAGTTTTCCAACACCTCGATATCACACCACCTCAAATTGAAAGCAAAATAATAAAACCACGAGCACCTGTTACTCCCCAAATTCAACTTCAAAAGGAAATTTATACTCTGCATTTACAAATTGTACTTATGATATCACTGAAACTTAGGAATAAGAGTAAGCTTCTGCATACACATTTTCAACAAATCAATGAGAGAAGATTTTTCTTGGTTGGGTGAACTTAAAATTGAGTGACAAATTGAGAATTTTAGTGAGGAACTTTTTAGTTAGGTGAACTTAATTTAAAGTTGGGTACCAATAAAGACACCCAACTAAAATAAAGGATATTATATGCACTAAGGGAGTGAATTTTTTGTCAAGAGGTGAAGACATGAATTTTTTATAGTATTATTATTTGTTGAGCTTGAACAATTGAACCGAGCTCAAGTCTACCTTGAGTTGTCTCGTAAAAAAATTTGAGTTGCTCACAAGTTTTACAAGTTGAACATACAAATGCTAAAGCTTAACTTGTTTATTAATTGAGTCAAACTAGGCTTGGCTTGGTTTATTGAGGAGCCCAGCTTCGACGAGCCAAACACGAGCCGAACAGAGTGTGAGCTCAACTATTTTGAGCTGATTTATATCCCTAGCTATAGGTCACATTTAGCCCTAAAATTGACAAAACCAGTCACCAGCGAAAGGTCTAAAGGGAACCGGGCTAAAAGAATCAGGTTAAGTTTATCTCTAAAGCGGTCAACATGTAACCCCAGGGCAAACTAAGTTTGGCCCCCAAAAGCAATAAAATAGAATATAGTCCTGCATGGTTGGAGATGAAAAAATTTAGCCCAACAGTGGTCTTTAAAATATTAATTTTAGAGGGCTAAAACACGGACAAACGCTACGTTAACCCTCCTTGACTAGAAATGACCTAGTTAAATCTCAATCGATCACTTGTGAAAAAAATGTGCAGGTGATCAAAGCTTGTCTAGTATCTAGGGGTGGGTTCAAAAAACCAAAAACCCAAAAAAATCGAACCGAACACCGAACTGAAACTGAAAAAAAACTGAACTGAACAAAAAACTGAATGAAAATGTTTTGGTTTGGTTTCCGTTTTAGTGGTTCCAAAACTGAACAAAACCAACTGAACCGAATTAAATATAATTACTTTTATTTATATTGGATTTTATTTTTTAAACTCAATTTCAAATCGATTATTAATATAGTTTTAGTCTCAAACACGTTGAAAACTTCAAGCCAAATAGAAATCCCAAGACCAGCTTGGTGGTTGTGGAATTAGCACAAATCGAATCCAATCCAACGGCAGAGACAGAGAGGAAGAGGGATTGAGAGCTGAGAAACCAAATACCTCATTTTGTTGAAATATCATATATGCATGTTTCCTTGGTAGATCATCATCATCACACTCACCATCTCAATGAACACCCGCATATTCCTTCATGTGAATTTTTAGATTAAAAAAATTATTTTAAATTTTTATGAAAAATAAAACCGAACCAAAACGTAAACTGAACCGTAATTGAACCAAATCAAAATAAATCGAAAAAAAATTAAACTTACGGCAAAAAACTAAACCGATTAAAACCGAACACACCCCTACCAGTCTCCAAGCAGCTGAGCAATTGACGAATTTGAAGGGGTTCTTCTTTTCAGTTTCCAAATATGAATTGAAACTTGGAAGTTGGAGCAATACCTATTCGGTTTAATTAAATTTTCACAAGTTGAAAAGCCTGCAGTCGTGTTATTGCATCAGTTGCATTATCCTCTCCTCCTATACATAAATTGATAACACCAACAGCATATGTAATATGTTACCGATTACTAGCTAGAGCATTGTTTTGAACTATATGGCTGAAACGAGTCGTCAGAAAAAGCTTCGTTATCACGACATGGCGACGATGATTATCATAGCGCTCCGCATGGCAGTGATGGCGATGATGACAACAAAGACGTGGGATGCAACCGTGGCCTTTCGCCTGAGAAGCTCAACTGAGGACCAAGAAAGATGCTTCTTGTTTTCAGTCTCTAGCAAAGAAGGATGAAAACCAAGGTAACCGTGATCCCGATAGCCGTTATGGAAACCATCTAGGTATATATGATCAGTAGCAAGTGATAACCATCATCAGAGAGTATTTAATCAATAATTGTTGCTTATAAAGCAAGCATGTCAAGCTAAAACAAATGTTGCAAATGTCTATTAATTTTCCTACAATCGCTCACTAAAATCTCCATGTTACAACAGCAATAATAAATAATAAAAAATTGATTAGTTTGATGTATGCCCTGCTGCGTCTTCCTCTAAGTACGTCTGTGGTGAAGCTTCGTCACACTGCAGCATACATATGATACGCACCTTATTCTAAGCACCAGTTACAGATACACCAGGAACGGATACATTAATGTCTGGGGATGGCCTGTGTTCTGACTTGAGATCCGCACCATTCCAACCAGCATTAGTGGATATAACACTGGTGCCGTGCATTTGGATCATGCTTTTATTTGCTTCCCCTCCGTGGCTATTTGCCGGTAAAGGGGATATTGCATTCAGTCTGGATTCAGTTTCAGGTTGTGCTTGAGAGATGGGAGTTGCTGCAGTGACTGTATCTGGAGCACTTGAGATTGGGGAACCTACTGTATTCTCACGATAATGCTTCCTGACCTTATGTGCCTTGTATCCATTTGGCATGAAGCTTCCAACCACAATCTAACCATAAACAACACACACCTTTGTCAAAAATGGCTTCGATTTTTGCTTTTAATTTTTTTTCACCAGAAAGAACTCAACCTAAGAAAATAACTAGAAATAACACAACCTTTCTAACAACAGTTTAAGCAGACAAATTAGTTTCGTTAAACTGGGTAGTGATAAACTATAACAGATGTCAAAAGAAATTGGCGACTGTGCCTATCCCTAGACAAATCATTTATTGGCCTGTGGGAAAGTTAAAACACATGACCGCGCGTGATTGACTTGGAATAATGCCACCTCAGTATCCCAACTGCAGGTAACTTTCTCCCGTCCCTCCATTCATTTTACATCATTATACTCTGAGGGTGCTCAAGTATAATGGTATAGCAAATGAGGGGATAAAAGGTCACGGGTTTTACCAATACCAAGCAATTCCAATGAAAATGTGAAAGGAAGGACTTTACTTGGATAGGGCTCGCAGCAGTTAGCACACCGGCAATGCCACCACCTATTACGCGACCGTCTGGGCCTGCCAACGAGACGCTCAAGCCACCAGTTCTACTTCTTACACCACCAATCTCAGTGACGGTAAATGACCCAGATAAAGACAGTAACTCAAAGCGTCCCTGCAAAAAATTATGTTTTAGAGGATGCTAAACAAATCCAATCCCCTAATGACATACAAACCGAGCACAATAGTAGCAGGAAAAAAAAAACAGCATTAAATAGCAGAAAGCAGCAAAACTGTTGTTAGTTCGTTATCAATCCCGAAAAGGTTTGAAAGATTCATTGCACAATTTTAATTTGACTTTCTCAAGCACCATGAGGCTAAAAACCAAATCCAAAAGATACAAATTTCTAAGACATATTTTTCTTTTGAGGGCAAAAGATGATTTCATTCATATAACCACGATAAACATAGACGCACATGTGAACATAACTACAGCCTCTGAAAAAACCTTAACCGAGTAAAACCCAGTGGGAAAAAGCTCGACTAAGGAAAAAGACGCCTCACATGTCGGTAGATGACAAACCAGTTACAGACTCGGCATGAATATAATCCATTAACCATAACTCCCAACATTGTGGACTAAACCGAGCTAGATGATGAGCGATACTATTTGCTTCCCATGGAACATGACCCACCAAAAAGTAAAGGGAAAAAACCCGAGTGATGTTGACAGAAAGAGATGTGAGATGATACCTCATATGTGAGAATGCCGCCAGAAGAACCCGGTTGGCGAATGGTAACATTAGAAACAGCTCCATTTGCTGAGAGAACGCAAACGCCTCGACCCTTGTGAGAAATTGAAAATATTTTGCTTGCAACATCCTGCACTTCCACAATTTTTGTGTACCCTTTTGTTAGTTTTTTCATGCAACCCCAAAATCTAACGGTTAAAAATCCCATAGTATAGGATACTCCGAAATACCAAAGAATTTTCGCAGTTGACGATCGGTGAATAGAGGAAATTTTACCTCCCCAGTGCTAACATTAACCACATGTGGTGTGAAGTCCCCACCAGCTGTGTTTGCAAACAACCCTCCTGCCAAAATCAAGTTGCAAATATTACACACCAAAATCTAAACTCCTATAAACAAAAATCCCAATAGAAATTTCAGATCTTTGACCATCCATAAGTGTGAGACTGATTTTCCTAGGACTGTTTGGTTGGTGAGAAAATGCAAGAAAACAAAAGCTGTGGTCATTAACTCTGGTTATTTTTACAAATTACATATTTTAACAAGAAAAACAAAGGTTTCTTTTTCTTCTATTAGGTAGGTAAGTTGAGATTTATACATCAGAAAATGTGGAAAAAAAACATAAACACAACTGACAAGCAACCAAACCAAGTACCAACCACAGTATCCTGTATTTCTGTCAAAATCTCTTTCCTGTTGCAGCATTTTCTCGGCAACCAAACAAACAAACACAGAGAAAACCCAAAAAACAAAATATTCCAACTTTTGTACAGGTAGTCCTTCCCGTTGATAAACTTACCCAAAGAAGCAAGAATCTGCCAGTTGCCGGATCCAGAAGGCTTCCCCCTTCCTCTTTTGGAAGAAGATGAAAACTCAGACGACAGGGGGTATGAAAGATAAAACCCCGGCGGAGGCGGTGGGACAGCGCCACCCTTATTGCTTTTATTATTACTATTATACCCCGGCCTCAAATTCCCATCTGCATCATACTTTCTGGGCCTCCCTCTCTTCTTCTTCCCAGACAAATCACCACGCCCAACACTTGCTGCTGCTGCAACTTCTGTGGCTTGGGTTGTTTCCGAAACAGGGGTGTTGTTGTAATTCTCCTCCGAGCTCACGGTGGCATCCACGGCCGCCATGGCTGCCATGGGCATACTCACCTTCTGAGTCACTGGGGGTGACTCGGTCTCCGAGTTGCCGGGTGACCCAGAAAAGGTGCTCTCCTTTTCCTCCATAACCAGAAACAGAGGAGGAACACAGAGACTGAGGATTGAGAAGGAATTGAAGAAACTTTTGGGGGTTTGAGTCGAAACTTAATTGGAAGAAAAGGGTTGATCTGGAAAAGGCGGCAGAAGTGTAGTAGAAGGTGGTGATATGAGAGAGAGAGTTTATACAAACTTCCTTCCCTCCATTAATGGAGGTGAAAAGGTCTGAAAACTGCTGTTCTCAGATTTTCTTGTCTGGACTTGCACTGTCTCTCTCCTCAAACCAAATTACCATCAGGCTCTGTTTATCTATTTGAGAGTTGAGTTACGCTTTTACCCCTCCTATTTTAGGACATTGTATTAATTTCTTTCTTCCTTTTTTATTTTTCTTTTTTATTTTCATGTTCATATTATTTTTGGTCAATATCAAAACATATTTGAACAAATATTTTCTTGGTTTGACAAATTTGATAAGGAAATATCTTAACTATTGTAATTTCAATTTTAAAGTGTTGTATTAACAATAAAAGTAATGCTAAAGAAATTATAAATTTATACCACATTGGTTTACATCTAATGCGGCAAATGATGCATATAATTAACATTTAATGAGATAAATTTATTAATTAATTTTTCACATCGTATGGTACATCATGATACAAAAATGTAATCTCCCAAACTTTGTTCAAAAAATAAAAAGTAATGTTACACTTACCATCTAGTTGTACCATCTTTCTAATAGAGGTAGGGTCTGCATGTAGGTCACATCTCTATTAGAGAGATTGTACAATAGATAGTAAGAATAACATTTTTGAAAAACAAACTCAAAAAAATAAGAATAGTGTTACATTTACTATCTATCTGTACCGTTTTTCTAATAGAGGAAGGGCCCAGCAACACCGGTATGTTTCAACTTTATTAAAACGATAGTACAAATAAATGGTAAAAATAATTTTTTTTAAATAAATGAAATGTCAATAAATAATAAAACTAAAGGAAATATAAATACCAAAAGTAAGTGAAAGAAACATATTGCAAATCATTTTTTATTTTTTATGAGGAAGCAAATCATTTGGTTTAGTGCAAGATCCTGAAAAAACGATAAAAGCCTTGCTTTCACTACAAGCTATTTTTTCAATAGATTCAAATATTGCCACTACACACTTTTCACTTTTTATTTTTATTGAGGAAAGAGAACTTTGACTATTTAAATAAAAACCAAGGAAAAGGAAGGGCAATATCGGTAGCACAACAGATGGCAATGAGGTCCTTGACGGGATAAAAGTTAAATTTGAAGGGTAGTTTTGTAATTGCAAACGATTTCTGCTGTTTTTTTAAGTTTGGTGTGAAAGACCGGGAAAATTAAAACTTGTTTTGGAATTCTGAAAAAGAAGTCGCTTGGATTAAAAATGCAGTCAAACAAGCGCTGTGCTGTAAAAGCTATAACCTGCCATAAAATAGTAATATAAAAATATATTTTAATTTATTAAGCTGCAAGAAAAGTTCAAATCCCAAGCTTACGTTTTCTAACTCTAAATCGTTTCTTCTCGGATTTCATTATTTCCAAAAAAACTCATGCCAATGGGCGCCTAAAGTTTTGATAAACATAGCCCTACCATGGCAATTCAAAGTTCAAACTGTTAAACTTGATCAATCGTGGATATCCGTTCGAATAGAATGAATTTAGGATGAAAATTCGCTTATGTTTTAGATATGGAGAAATATCGAAAATATTATTCGGTTATAGTTTTAGGTAAGGTTATAGGGATTCCCGATTCATATCTGTTTTTAAATCTGACCCGAGTAATACATATTGTATATATAATATAATATAGTATTGTATAATATTTTGTATATTCACCAAACATATTATCTTGAATTACAAAAGTTGCATTTTGTGAGAAAGCTCAAAAATTTTGAATCAAAACCAATGATAACTCAATGGTGTTTATGAAAGAGATATTTGACAATTTGTTTTGTCTTTTTCCCTTAGTGGATGTGAATATTTAATGATGAAATTAGTATCTATTATATTATAATGCATTAATTGAATGAATATAATTTTTTTAATTGACGAAAATAGATATAACCATTAACCAATTGAGAATCCATCACCTAGTGGATATAGTTATGGATAATCTGTGATGGTTAATTTGTGGTTATGGATACGGTTAATTTTCGTGGTTATAGGGCTAATTATAGTGTTTTCGTCTCCAAACCAAACCGTTGTCATCCCTACATAGCACCCTCCCCCTGTAAAATGATTTGCATGAAACGAGTTTAATGTGATGTGGCATTTCGATTTAATAACGCACTTTCATGTGCAAAGTGTTTCGCCATTAAATCATAACGTTTTTGTAATAGTAATCGCGTCTCAGTACATTGACAAAAAAGAAACAATTTGGGTCAACAAAAGAAAAGCATCAAGGAAAATAAAAAAAAATAAACAAATACATTAGGTAACTTGCATATCTAAACATATCGAAGTTGGTTAAAGCAATACATTTTCTTTCATCACCTAAGTTTGAATACCTTCTATATTTTGAGTAACATTGATAGCAGTGTTGTGGATTTCTATCAATTTTCCACTTACATGAATTTCTTATATTATTATTTAGTACTACAATTTAATAGTGTAACTATAATAGTGGTATAAAAAAATATAAATTTCTTATTTTAGAGTTGTAACTTGTGATAAAAACATTTTACTTTACTAATTTAATAATCAGGGCGCCCTAATAAAGAAAATAAAATAAAAGGTTTAATAAAAAATACAAAAAAACAGAGGAAAGTAATATGTGAGTAAGACCGTTGACGGTCAATGCAGTATTAAATATGTTGCAACGCTAATTCTGTGTGCCATCACTGCTGCCCCCTTTGCTCGTTAGACTTTTATATCCATATGTATGTAGCCGTTTGATTATCATCTAATGTCAAAAATTTATCTTTTTTAATTTTCTTGAATTAGAACGACAAATATTTTTAGACAACTGAATATGTTAGCTAGTAATCCTAAAAATAAGGTTGGCATTCTCTCTTCCCCCTTTGAGTTTAGAATTTCTAATCTTGTTTTTGCAGATGATTGTTTAATTTTTAGCAAAGCATCATGTAAGGCAGCTAGGAGCATCATGAATACCCTCGGTAAGTTAACCTCGGCCTCTCACAAAGGATTAACTTCCATAAATCATCTCTCTATTTTTCTAATAATACTATTTACAATTTGAGAAGTGATATTGTTAATATCATGCAAATTCAACATAAAACAACTATTGGTAAGCATTTAGGAATCCATAGTATAATTTATTGGATGGACCCTACTAATGCTAAAGAGCTTATTCTCAAAGTTAAAAAGAAGCTTGCAGGTTGGAAGGCAAATACCTCTCAAGAGCTGGTAGGCTGACCCTAATTAAGTCCAACTTATCTGGTTTGCCTAATCAAGCATGATGTGTTTAAATGTCCTAAAAAAAAATAATTGATGCCTTCCAGCTCTTGAGAGGCAGGTTACAAACAAGAAAGAAATTGCTTAGATTTTTTTCCGAATACTAACCCTATTTACCTTTTTTGTAAGGGGTGTGATATCCACACACCCCATTTTACTTCTCACACACTTTTTTAATTTTCGGCCGTCAGATCGAATGAATTGAAGAAGATCAACGGAAATAAATTATTAAGGGGTGTGTAAGAAGTAAAATAGGATGTATGGATATCACACCCCTTTTTGTAATAGTCTCTTTTTAATTGCAGCTTTTCTCAAGATGTTTGGAGGATCTCCAATGGCCCAATGCCCGTGAATGCAAGTTCAATTTTGATTTATTGGCTATCCCAGCTAAATGTGAATATGAATTCGAACTTTCTGATCCAAGTAAGGCTCTTCTAATTTGTTGGCAAGTGTGGAATGATAGCAATAATCCTACTTTCCATGATTGCAAGGCCCATCCTGCTAAGACCTAGTTTGGGAGCGAGGTGCTTAAAAAAAAAAGCACCCATGAAAAAAAGTTGTGAGGGTTTTAGGTGTTTGGTAAACTGAAAAAAAAAAGGCTTATTTTGGAAGCTGCTGTGAGAATAAGCTGAAATCAAAGAAAAAAGCTGAAGCTGTTATTTGCAGCTTTGGAAAACTGGCTTTTTTTTCAAAGCACATGGAGCTACAGTGCTTCTTTAATGAAAAGACCCACTATTAGACTGCTTTTTTTTTTCTAAAAGCACTTTTACAAAAAAGTTTACCAAACACTCTGCTGATTTATTTCACAGCCGCTTATTCTCATAGCACAGCCGCTTATTTTCACAGCAGCTTTTTTTCAAAGCACAGCAATACCAAACCAGCCCTAAGGTCCCTATGGTTGTTGCTATAGTTGACAGGCAATATTACCTTGCCAATAAAAATTTAAGATCAATTTGTACCTAGAATGCAACTCATGTTCATGATTCATCTCAATTAATTTTGATGGCTCTATTGTGGGTTCTAAGGCTGCTACTAGTTTCATCATAAGAGATGCTAAACGGTTCACCTATTGTGGTTGGCGGCCGCAATCTTGAAGAAAGGACAATTTATGTTGCTGAAAATCTTGCTCTTCGTGATGCTTTGAGATATGCGAAGGTCAAAAATTGTAAGGAGAAGTTTACTGAAGGAGATTCCAAGCTTATCATTGATGCCACTATTTCTCCGTTTCTTTCTTTCTTCTTTGTTGTTGTTGGCCTCAATCACTGGCGGCCCAACCCAACCCCACAATGAAATTCCCAATGCTCTTCCCAACCACAAAAACCAAGTCCATGTCCAACAACGCCCACTCACAAATACACGTCCCTATTAATATAAAATTACATTAGATGCCTTAACCCACTAAAATCCTCCAAAAATATACTCGCTTTTGCCTTGACAATGTCACATTTATGATATAAATAACGTTCATGCCTTTTTTTTTCCTCATAAAAAATAAGAATCATTGTTGGATCATAGAATCAAATACTACACCAAGTATACGTATTTTAGTGTCTTTAAGTTGTTCAACCTATATGCTTTGCTTGTTCATATTTGTGGCCGCATTCAATGGTTTAAGATTAAGCCCTTGAACTTTAATATAAGACTTGTTTAGGAGTGCTAATGCATGCACTTTGGTTCTTCATTTAGGATACATGACATCTCGTAATTAATAATACTCATAATCACTTAAGTTTAAAAATATATATCGAGTAATTTTTCTCACATCAATTAAAGTAAAGAATTCAAACTAAAAACCTCGTGCTCGGAACAAAAATACAACTAGATCAAAGCTAACGTACATCGAGTAATTATGCATAGAAAAAATAAATTAAATAAATATATTAGGTGAGCCTAATATAAAAAGACCTAATTAGATTATTAGTTCATGTGATGATAGGGTACTCGAAAGATAGCTCATGTCGTACAAACCTTAGGATTTAAGCTTCTGTGGTGAAAGTTTGTTAGGATTTAGACCTAAAATTGAAAAGTTCGTCAACTCTTCGTTAATTGTTAGCACATAAGACTCATATGTGAGGCTCTTGTGCTAACAATTAAAAGAGTTATGTTTTAGCCTTATATATGTAGCTCACTTGCTAATAATTGATGAAGAGTGGACGAAATTTTTAATTTTAAATATAAATCTTAATATATTTCACCACAAATTCTTAAATCTTAATTATTTTTACCACAAGCGCTATCATTCGACAATCGTATCCCCACGGAAACAAACCGTCCGTTTAGGCTTCTATAATAAAGTACCAAAAATGGAAAGAATTTGGAGTATCCCCAAGCCATGTAGTATCCTGTTTTTTCACCTCGATTGGACCCATTATGACTTGTTTCGGAGTCTTTTCGCCTTGAGCTTTGTCTCCCTTCCGCGTGGCGCGGCTATATGTACGCAGGTGGTGCGTACGGTAAAAACCTACCCACTCCCTCCAACTCGGACCCCCAAACCCCGAATCGCTCAAACCCTCCTCCTCCTCCCTCTGTTTCTGTAGCTCAATCATTTCTGTTTGGTTCTGCGCTTCAGATTGATGTCAAGCTTCCACCTTGTTCGAGCTAAACGGTGAGTTTTCCTCCTACTGTCTGTATGCACAGAGTTGGTACCATGTATATGCTTGTGTTGGTGTATTGTCGTTTGAATCTGTGAGGGCTGTTTGGTTGGTGAGAAAATGTTGGAATTCTTGTGTTTGGGACCCGGGAAAATATTAATTTCGTTATTTGATTTTTGGGTATTAAATTTGCTGATATGAGGGGGGATTTGATTTTTCAGTTACTGTTTGATTCCCTATTTTCAATTTCTTACCGAGCAACCAAATGAAGGGTTAGAACCAGAATTGTTGTATATTAGTGTTTCGGTTCAGTATTGAGCTAAGGTGGATTTTGGGATTTAGGGTTAATTCTATGAAATTCTGGGGTTTTTTGGGTCAAGAAATTGTGATTTTGTTTGTGTTTAACAATATAATAAAGTTCAACTTCTTGTTTAGGGACAGGAAAGAGATCTACTGAGATTTCTGTTTTGGGTTGGTTTGCACTTTGCAGTGTATGTGCTTAAATGGGGAGTGAGATCGTGTCTGAGTCCTGGTTAGGTAGTTTGAGGTTCTCATGGAGTCGTGTGGCGGAGGCTGACAAGCCGGTGATTGGCGTTCTGGCTTTTGAAGTTGCTGGGTTGATGTTAAAGGTGGTTGATTTATGGAATAGTGTGAGTGAGAATGAGATGCTTAGGTTGAGGGAAGAGGTTGTTTACTCTATTGGGGTCAGAAGGCTTGTGTCTGATGACGACTATTACTTGATGGAAATTGCACTGAATGAGATAATTGAGAATTTGGGATATCTGGCAGTGTCTGTTGTCAGGCTTGGGAAGAAGTGCACCGACCCTGTGTATCACTGTTTTGAAGAATTTTTTGATGACCCTGTGGAGAATGGTTTTCAGTGGCTTGGGTGGGAATACAAGTGGAAGAAAATGGAGAGGAAAGTGAAGAAAATGAAGAGATTTATTGAAGCAACAATGCAACTATCCCAGGAGCTGGAAGTGCTGGCGGAGCTTGAGCAAACTCTGAGGAGAATGCGCGCTAATCCTGATGTAAATCGGGTAAAATTGCTCGAGTTTCAACAGAAGGTAATGTGGCGGCGTCAAGAAGTAAAAGGTTTACAAGAGATGTCTCCATGGAGTAGAACATATGATTACACTGTCCGACTTTTGGCAAGATCCCTTTTTACAATGTTAGATAGGATAAAGTTTGTCTTTGGATTTCATCAAATGGCTTTGGGAGAGGGAATGGATAGCTCTGAAGTTATCAATTCTGTTTGTCTTTCTCGCAGTCATTCATTTTCTGCTCTTATGCACTCTTCTGTTCATCCATCTGATGGTAATCTATGTGGGTCTGGACCTCTTGGGAGGTCGCTTGCAAAGACGAGGCTTAATGCTCGCAAGAATAGAACAAACAACCAGCGGCAAGCTCATCACCAGTCATCCATCCAACATGGAAGTTACTCCCAACTAAAACCCAAACGGTTTGCTCATCTTGGTCCGTTTAAAGGATGCATGATGGGTGGAAGTAATTCTCCTGTTTTTGAGAGCTGCAAGCCTGAAATGGGTGGTTCTATGAGGTTGAGAAGTACGGGTATCAAACATTTTGATAGCTTAAAGTACACACATATGGGATCCCAATCTTTCAGTCATGGCATCTATTCTAAACTATCCCTGTTCAATTCAAAATGTACACTACTGAATGCTCCGCCATCTACCCTTGGCGATGCTGCTCTAGCGCTCCATTACGCACATGTGATTGTTTTGATTGAAAAGATAGCTTCATCACCTCACTTGATCAGCCTTGACGAAAGATCTAATCTTTACAACATGTTGACCACAACTATAAGGACTGCTCTGAGAGCTAGACTGAAGTCATATGCCAAAACTACGGGATCATCTGTCTACAATCCTGACCTTGCAGGAGAGTGGAATCTGGCGATGGAGCAGATCTTGGAATGGCTTGCTCCACTAGCCCATAACATGATACGTTGGCATTCTGACCGCAAAATTATGAAGCAGCAGGAAGTTTCCAAGACGAATGTGCTTCTGGTCCAGACCCTCTACTTTGCAAGTCAGGCTAAAACTGAAGCTGCAATTACAGAGCTTCTCATAGGTCTGAACTACATGTGCATGGTTGACGAACTTAATAGGAAGGCTTTGCGAGACGCTGGTGGCAGCCGACCATACGATGATTATATGCTCAAACGGGATGAAATTTCTCAAGAAATTCTGGAGACGGCAATAGCGTTTTGAACTTGCATTATAAGATGATGTTCAATCAATGAAGTGATTTAGAGAAGCATGAGTTACATGACAACACTTCGAAGAGGTATTTCTAAGCGATCGGATATCGAATAACTCCACTCTTGAGATGTTTAAGGCATCAAATTAACACGTTTGGCTTCTCTTTTTGTATTTTGTTTTTCTTCGTGGAACTCAAAGAATCTTTCATTTGTTCATATGATGGATGAATTGGGGGCCAACGGTCACTTTCTTGTAAAGCATATCTTGTAATTCGAAACTCTGCGGCATCACGGAATGGTATATTTGCACTGCTCTTTTGACATATCCATATCTGTTTTTCGGAAGGTGAAATGATTGCCGCACTCCCTTTTGCCCTCCTCGACCCCTACGCCTCATTTTGTTCCTTGACTCTCATTTGATCTATTCAATCCAATGACTACAAGAAATGTCTAAAGAGGATTGCAAGATGTGAAAAGGCAAAATCACTCCTCTTTCGGAAGTATTAGAGACTCGGATTGGACAAAAAAACCAACAAACAGGGAAACCGAAGCAGACCAAGGGAAAACAATCGAAGACAACTGAGTTGACCAAAATTGAACTCAAACCGAACCGAACCAAGCATAGGCTGTATCTTGTAACACCACTAACCAGTCTTTAACTTGGAAAGATCATATTTTGCTATGGTCAGTCCTAGTGGGCAAGTTTTGACTGTTGGTTAATTATGTTCTTCATATGTATCAACGGTCAGAAATCGTTCATGTCTTGACTGCATTGTCCGTTTGGTACGTGGGACGAGACGGAATGGAGTGGAACGAGGCGTTTCGTTCCACATTTGGTGCGTCTAAAACGGGTGGAATGCGCTGTTCCACGGGACGAATTTTGGGTGAATTTTCGTTCCGCCTCATCCCCTTAGAACGACTTGTTCCATATCTGTGGAATACAAAATTATAACCTCTCCGTCTTCTTCTTCGTCCTCCTTGTTTCCATCCGAGGGCATCTTTGCTCCATCTCTGTTCCGTCCCGTCCCGTCCCATTCCGTTCTGTCTCGTCTCGTATGCATACCAAACGATTAGGTAGCCGGTAGGGCCCTTATCATACCAACTACAAGGAAAGATCCAAATGATTAACTTTTTGTTATGTAATTTTTACTAATAAAAAACCATGCGCAATCATTCAATTGATCTCCTTTTCTACGCAATGATTCTTCAATAATGCCATACAACGTAGATTTTAAGACTTTTTTCACCCAACTTGTGGCTTTCACACATCTTATAATACAACGTTGTTGTAGCACATAAGTTGAGTAACAGTTTGACGTAATATTATTATTTATTAGCAATAATGTTTCAATCATCGAATCGTATAAAAATAAATAGAAGGGTTTGGTAAAAATTGTCTATTTTTTGTTACAATTGATTGACTAGACAACTTATAAAATTAATTTTTTAAAGAGATGATTTTAACAGAGTAAATTATAATATGAACAGTTTTGACTAGAAACACAAATTTATCTGAATCGGTCACTAAATGAATTGAGTAAGAATTCTTCCTTTATCTTGAGGAGTCAAGCATTGTTTTTCAAAATAAATGAGTGTCAAAGTGGACTCTTATCATGGTCATTGGTAAAAGCATTAATAGAACATTGTCACGTCTTTCGGTGAATAAATTTAGTGTTGGCCACAATATTCCAATATTAAACAAGTCGATTATTAGAACCAAGCATTCAAGACACATGAACATCAATGGTGAAGGTCAACTATTCAAAAAGCTTAACATGCGCGCTATTTAGTACTATAGTCTAGTGCTATTTTTCTTCACTTGTAAGTGAGAGATCTTATGTTTGATTATCGCAAAAAACGAATTTAAACCACATTATTGATGACCCATTTTGAAGCTTAACCCACTCTCCCATCCCCTAGTGTAGATAATATCTTTTGTTAAAAAAAAAAATTAACATGCAAGATTGTTGTCCAGAAACAATCAAATGAGACATATCAAAAGTCTTGATCAAACCTTATAAGAAGCACTTCGTGGGCACTGCTAGCAATGGCTCAGATTTTCTCATTGTTATCCCTAACTTGTCCTTCCAATCCATGGTTTCTCTAGTAACATTTGCATCCAGTGACCAATCAAATTGGTGAAGCAACGTCCCCAATGTAAGATGCAGCATTCTATGAGCCAGAGGCACACCGGCACACATTCTTCTCCCAGCTCCAAACGGAACCAACTCATAATTCTGCCCCCTGTAATCAGTCTTTGAGCCTATGAACCTCTCGGGCTTAAACAACGTCGGCTCATCACGCCACGCATCTGGATCTCTTCCAATTGCATAAGCATTCACAAACACCTGTGTGTCTTTGGGTACAAAGTACCCCATGAAACTGGTGTCATGCATTGCCTTTCTTGGTACTAGGAAAGGAATTGGTGGATGCAATCTGAGTGTTTCTTTGATTATGCCCTGCAAGTATGGAAGATTGTCGATATCACTCTCTTCAATCTTTCTGCTTGGACCTATTACTCGATTGAGCTCGGCTTTCGCCTCGACAAGCGTTGCCGGGTTGCATAACAGCTCGGTCAATGCCCATTCTGTGGTGCTGCTTGTTGTTTCTGAACCAGCCATAAATATTTCCTGCACCACACCACACATTTTCAGTTTCTCACTTTTCATTCCTTAAGTGAAACGTGAAGGGTAATTAATGTTCTCGTGCGAGATATATATATTGTCAGATGTCAATCTCGAACACAGCGTTAAGGCAATAATCAAGCTAATGATAATCCAAATTCACAATTTCTCAGGCAGTATGACAATACAACATTTCAACAAATTTGAAGGTTAATTTAGAGCTAATAAAAAACTTACCAGTATGAAAATATTGAGATCGTGATCAGAGATTTTAGCTGGCTCGTCAATTCCGTTGCCTTCAAATTCAAGCAACACATCCAAGAAGTCCTTAGTTTTCTCTCCACCCACCTCCCTCTCTTGGATGCGTCCTTTGACAAACTTAGAGGCAATTTGTATAGCTTTTCCAAGATCCCTTTTCATCTTCCTCTTCAGGCCTTGCGGATCAAGCCACCTCAGCCATGGAAAAAAATCTACCACGTTGCCACTCCCATTCCACTCCATCAGTCCATTCATTGCTTTAAAAAACTCCATCCCTTCTTCCGAATTCGGATCCACCAAGTCCCTAGACAACATGAGGTTGCCAAGAAGGTTGAAAGTCATAAGGAACACGAAACGCGCCACATGAACCCCACGCCCTTCTTTGACTTTGGACGCTTCCTCTTCAATCCACAACTGCATGTTGTCTATGCACTTTCTTCTTATGAAAGCCGTCTCGTTGATGCGTTTGTTCACCACCATCTCCACTGTCACTAACCGCCTCATCACGCGCCAGTGTGTGCCGTACGGGGCCATTGCCAGGGAACCTTTGTGGTAGTCATGAACCCTAGCGTTTTCGTTGACTGTGCGCTCTACAAATGAGAGGTCATGGTTTTTGAAAAACTCTGCAGCTGCCTTGGCAGATTGAACTGACATAGTGTTTCTCACACCAAGTGTAAGCCAAATTACAGGGCCAAACTTGTGTCCTAGGTCAGTGAGAGTCCTGTGTGGCATTGTGCCGAGGTCGAACATGTTGCCGATTACAGGCCATCCTTTGGGTCCGGGAGGAAGCCTACGGTGACCCGAGCTTGATGAACTCCGGCGGATCAAGAAGACCAGAACTGGTAAAAAGAAGATTATCAAACAGACAAGAAAATTCCACTCATTGAAGTTGAAGAAATGAAGCATTGTAACGTTTTTGCTCTCTAAAATCAGTAGGTTGTTGTGAGCAGACTGAGCGAAGTTTTTGTTGATTTATAACTAGATTTCATGGGAAAGTCTCATACTATTAGCCTTTTGATTATTGTTTAGAAAAGGTAATAAAGAACATTATTGAATTAATTACGACATTCGACATAAAAAAAAAAAAAATTAGTTACGACCTGTTCTTAGGCAGTGATGTAAATTTTATAATAAATTTTTAGTGTTTATTTTGTTTTTAATTAGTTTATTTTTGAAACTAGAGAATCATTTTGAAAGAATCAACACAAGACTTGAAGGAATCATTTTGTCTCATATAACCATAGTAAATTGAAAGAAATTAATTGGTATGTTTGTGTGACGCATCTACCCACAGAAGACCTTGAAATGGCAACGTTTGATTGGATTAATCCCTTGGACTTTCGGAGGACAAGACAACCCACCTTAATCATTTTTATATTAATACTACTCCTCATATAACAATAAACGTGTTTGACAATAAGGTAGGAAAAATGATACCGTCTTGTAATATTACAGTTTAGTAATATTCTTTTGCATATTTAAGTGAGATATTTTAAGTAAGAATCTTGTTTGTGATGAATTTGATACCACTAATTCTTTATCTTTTTAGTGTAAATATATCGTCGTGTAAAAAAATAAAAATAAAAAATGTTCCAGACTTAAAGTTTCTAATTTTGCACTGTTTTTTTTTTAATCCTTAATTCTCATTAATTTACTCAATTCATTGGTGAGGAAAAAAGTGATTTGAATGCATGATTAGGGTTTTGGAAATTATTTCTTCAAGATAGTATGCATAATTCGACAACATTATCCAACAAAAATGCGATAAATGTGAGATCACTTTGAACCTTACTGATTTTTGGCAAATAAGATGGTAACTTTTCGGCCACCACATAATTATTTCTAAGAAATACGATTATAAGCCATCGCCGGCCACATAATTTGACCTAGTGTTGAGCACTTTTTAGGCACTGCCACTGCTATCCCTAACTTGTCCTTCCAATCAATGTTGCCTCTAGTGACGTTTCCACCAAGTTCCCAGTCAAATTGGTGCCCAAAGTAAGGTGCAACATTCTATGAGCTAGTGGGAAGCCTGCACAAACTCTTCTTCCTGCTCCAAATGGAAAGAACTCAAAAGCCTGTGTGTTTTTAGGTATTTCTCAGGGTGGCATGGCAGCTCGGTCAGTGACCATTGTTTCCGAGCCGGCCAGAAATATTTCCTGCTCAACAGAAGATTATAAGTTCACAAATTCTGTGGCCACTTTTGAACACACAGAATGTAGAAATTATAAACTTGATAATTATATTCATAGCATAAATGCTTATTTATACAAATGTGTAGACTTAGTGTACAAGCAAGGATATCTACAAATTAGGAATACAATCATAATTATATTAAAATATTAATTCCTAAACCTTAGGAGAAACGGTTTGCTTGTATAAGACTCATTCTCTAACATCCTGTTGGAAATGTGCCCAAAAGGCAATCATAAGATGATACTTTACAAGCATTTCATGTTAAACTAAACTAGTTTAGTGTAAAGGGAAAGATTATTGTTTAAAGCTGTCTCATTAAACGTTATACTTAAATGATAAGTCCAAGTAATATGTAATAATAGAATGTGATCTAAAGAAGTTAGATTCATGAGAGACTGGTCAGTACACGTTATGTCTTCTCTACTAGGAGAGTGACTGGTCTCTAGTCATTGGTCTAAATGACACCAGGACAAGTATGTAGGTGCTCTATAGAGAGTGAGTCTATTGAACGCGATCAACAAGGAGTTCCCATATTCATGCGACTCGAGAACTCATGGTTGGGATAATGCAAAGTAATCATTTGACCTGAGACATGATAGTTGTCTTGTGGTTTGGTCTTAGTCTTTGATTATGTTAAAGACATTCCGTTTGAGGGCATCCTGGGAATAAGCTACTATTCAAGTGAGCATGTCAATGTATAACAAGGGATCTCTAACCTTCAAACCGTTGATGGATAATACTCTATGTTATGATTAAGAATCTCTTGCCAGAGTACATATGAGATTTAGGAAGTCGTTTCAAATCACATTCAAGATAATCATATGGACAAGAGAATCACATTGGATAGTATACATGAATAAGCTATCAACCAAATAATGTGATCAAGAGTATTAGATTAGAGAAAGACTGTATTGCATTGTAATCCTAAACTAAATAGGCTCTCCAACCTCTTCTAATTAGCTTAGGTAGCCATGACATACTGCTAGGTGTCACTCATGGTTTGTGGAATCCCTGAAGATGTATAATCACTAAAGGAAAAGTAAGTTTCAATTCACAATTGATTAGTAAGATTTCTAATCACTCATTGCCTCACTAAAAGGAGAACCTAATGGATCGCACACCGTGTAAGGTAACGATTGAAGGACATAACCAAGTTGAGTAAGGACAATTAAATAGTTTAATTGTATATGCAAAGATTAATTAATATGTTAATTAATCATACGAAATGTTCGTTTAGAATTTAAGTTGGTTTCGGATTTCGGGGCCCAAATAGATTTTGGTCCACAAGGCCCATTGAGTTTAAGTTGTATGACAACTAAAATTAAATGGGAATTAACTCAAAAACAACTTTATAGCTTTAACCATCCATGCTAGAGCGAGTGTGATGGTGGACTTACTACAAGTTTGCCATTCACTTGTAAAGAGGTATAAGAGCAACTTTATAGCTTTAATCTCTTTAGGCTTTCTTTGAGGAAAGATGAGAGAACACAAGCTCTCTCTTTCTCTCTAGAGAGGCTGGCCATATGGGAGAAGGAAGCTAGCATTTACTTCCTCCCATATAACTCATCTTTTTCCTTCCATCATCTGTGTGTTGAAACTTAGAGGCCTCCAACTTTGGTGGCTTTTGAAGAGTCTATTCTTCCATCCAAATCCAAGAAGACAAGGAGCCAAGAAGCAAACTTCTTACATCCATATTCATGGAGCCAAGGAGCAAGGATGCAAAGGATTGAAGGCCTTTTCATGGGTGATTAACCTTTGCTAAGCAAACAGGTGCTTCAAAGGTATAACAAACCTCAACTATCCTTTTGATTTTAGTTGAGTCTTGGTTAACACAACTACTAAGCTTCGAATTTCATGTTTTATATTTTGTTTTAGAGTGCATACAAGCACGCTTCTACCATTGTTAAATGCATGTATTATGTTGCTCAATGAACTTAGTTTATAAAAAAAAATTTCCTACAAGTAGTATCAAGATTCTATGTCTATTAGTTGGTGAACCCTTTTGGGTTTTGTTGTTCATAGCTTATGATTTGAATATTGTAATAGTTACGAGCTTTATTCTTGCCTCTTGGAATGTAAATTTTGCATGAAAATTTGTCATCTCAAAAGTTGTAGATGTAGTTCAAATGAGCATGAGTTTTGGAGCTAAAATTTAGAGCCTTTTGTTGGGGGAAATTTGGCAAATTCATGGGTGGATTTTTGGGTCATGTTTGTCCTATTCAAAGAGTATTAAAGTGACATTAGGAATCCCTAAGTACCCAAGTACGTCAATATGTTAATCCTCTTTGTTTGAGGGAGTTTTAGGTTTCTTTGGATGAAAAATGTTCATGAAACTTTTATGTGTTTTCATGAATGTTCTTAATTGTTCTTGTTGTATTCTTCACGTTCATAACAAGAACAAAAAGTTTGGGAGTTTTTGATTCAAAATTACTTTGTGCTTAGTATAGTGTTTGTTTGTCTTGGTTTGTGTGATTAGATTGGTACTTTTCCACTATTTTTTTGCCAAACGATAGATTTGTTAGATTAAAGAGCCGACGGGGTTTGAACTTACACTGTGGTGCAAGGGCATCATTCTTTTCCATCACTATAGTAGAGGGCCACTTGTGGTACTTTTCCACTCATTATCTACACTAAGGGGGTGAGGGAGTAGACTAAGCCTTACAATGGGCTAGCAATAGTGTGGTTCAAATTCATCTTTGCCGAGAATTGAACCTAAAACCTCTCACACAAGTGAAGAGGAATACCACTAGACCGTAGTATTAAGTGGCCACTTTCCTCTCACCTTTTGAATTGTGAAACTCACCAAAAGTTTTTCACACTATCTCTCTCTTCAAATCTGGCCACCCCTACAAGTAGGGTATTTTTGGGGGTTTCTTGCAATTACATAAAGTTTGATACTTTTGTGTATTTCACTTTACCCAAAAGTTTATGTTTTTACATAAAGGCCCAAAATCACTAAATGACAAATTGTTTTGCTCCATCAATGAAAATTTTGCAATTTTTTGGTTTTACTTGTAATAATATAAAGTTGTGAACATTTGTGCATTTACAAAGTGACCCTAAAAGTTTGTGTTTTGCATAATGGGACAAAATAGATTCCCCTCTTTAAATCCACATGTTGCCTCCAGGATTTTTGGAATTATTTTTTACTCCACAGCCGTAACTCAAGGTATCATTAATTATTAGGAAAACTAACAAAAAAGGCTTGAAAACTTTGACTTTAACCCAAAGCCATATTATAACGTTACTTACTAGTTAGTACAAAGCCCAATACTAAATCAGCCTAACTAAAAAGGCCAAACCAAAAAAACATGCTGATTTGTTTATTTTACCCCTAATATTTTAGGTTAACTTACCTTAGTTATTCCGTGAGTTTAGTTATTTTGAAATAAGAAGTCTTTGTTTGCAGAAAAGTTGTAGAGTTCTTCAATCCTTTTTTTGGAACTGGTTGACGGTTTTGAGTCCATTTTGAAATCTTGATCATTATTGTTCATCGTTTTACTGGAGTTCTGTAATCTGATCGTCATTCTTCGTAGTTTCATTAGAGTTTAATTTTTTGATTGGAGGTTATCAGCATCGTATTACAGGGTTGAAGACAATTTTGCTGCTTAGTTTTGCAAATAATTTATTTAGTTTTGTATTGACTGATACTTTTTTGGTTAATTTGTGTTCAGATTACAAGATTTCAATTATTTGATTTCAGTTTCTGAATTTCTCCGTTTGTAGCTTACTATTTTGAAGAATTGTAGGTAAATTTTGTTTTTAATTTTGTATGTCTTGTTTATATTGTATGCTT